CATGCTCGAAGTTCTTGTGAAATGGCAGGCTCAGTGTAATCAGACATGTTGAGTCTTATATTGTAAAACAGACAGTAGTCAAATAGAGGGAACTGTGCAATGAATGGGGTCACCCAAATGAGATGAGCGATATTTGTAAGGGCGGCAACACAAATAGTTAGTGGGATTAGCCACTAAAATTACAGTAAGTGGGTTGATCCACCATAATAATAATAGCAAGTGGGTTAACCCACTTGTAAGAAGTCAAACAAGGTGGGTATGTCCACAATATTGGATATAAAGAGTTGGGTTACCATCGTTAAATCAGAAGGTGGAATTCACCTGTAAATATTATTTTCTGAAAGTTAAGTGGGGGTCACCCACTGTAATATGGGTGTTGGTACACCTTAACTGAGTAACCGTAAATGATAGGTGGGGGTCACCCACAATAAACTCAGAAATAAATACAAAGTAAGTTGGAGTGGGGGTCATCCACGCGAATGGGCAAGGGCGCAAAATAGCGGGCTCATGGGAAATAGAGTCCGCGGTAAAATTAAGGGAATTGAATGAGGAAGGTGGCCCGCGGTCTCTTGCTGAGGAGAGAATCCGCGGGCACTAATAAAGATCGCGGGGAGAATCTCTGCGAAAACCTGCTGGTCGTCTACCTGACGTCCTGGTGGGGATTTAAAGAGACGCATGTGTGCACTTAAATTATTAAGAAATGCATTAAAAAAAATGTTTAACCCCTTAAGGACTGGACTGTTTTTGCGATGTTGTACATTTGTGACCAGGCCTCTTTTTACACTTTTGTGGTGTTTGTGTTTAGCTGTAGTTTTCCGCTCTCTCATTTAATGTTCACATATAAATTATATATTGTATTTTTCAGGACAAAAAGGGCTTTCTTTACATACCATTATTTAAATAATCTCATGTAATTTATTTTTTTTTTTAAATGATAAAATTGAAAAAAATACACGTTTTTTTACTTTTACTTGAAAAATCTTTTACTCCTCTACAAAAGCTAATGAAAAAAACTGCTAAATAGATTCCAAATTTTGTCCTGAGTTTAAAAATACCCAGTGTTTACATGCTTTTTTTGTTTTGCAAGTTATAGGGCTATAAGTACAAGTAGGATATTGCAGTTTCAAAACATACATTTTTTAAATTTATCAATAGTGACATTATAACACTATTATTGGTCATAAATCTCTGAATAACACCCCACATGTACATTTTTTTTTTAAAGTAGACAACCCAGGATATTCAATATGGGGTATGTCCAGTCTTTTGTAGTAGCCACTTAGTCACAAACACTGGTCAAAGTTAGCGTTCATATTTGTTTGTGTGTGAAAAAAGTAAAAAACTAAATTGACCGCTAATTTTGGCCAGTGTTTGTGACTAAGTGGGTACTAAAAAAGACTGGACATACCCCATTTGCAATACCTTGGGTTGTCTTCTTTTGCAAATAGTATGCCATCATGGGGGTAATTCTCACTCCTGGGCTACCATACGCTCTCAAAGGCAACGTAACCAACCAGGCCTTTTTCAATGTAAAAATATTTTACTCTGTAACTTTCAAAAACGCTATAAAACCTGTACATGGGGGGGTACTGTTTTACTCGGGAGACTTTGCTGAACACAAATATTAGTGTTTCAAAACAGGAAAACGTATCACAACAATTATATCAGTAAAAGTGCTGTTTGTGTGTGAAAAATGCAAAAAATTCACTTTCACTGACAATATCATCGCTGTGATATGTTATACTGTTTTGGATCACTAATATTTGTGTTCAGCGAAGTCTCCCGAGTAAAACAGTACTCCCAATGTACAGGTTTTAGGGTGTCATAGAAAGTTACAGGGTAAAATACAGTGCTAGCAAATTAAATTCTCTGGACTTTCGGCCTGGGTTGGCAGGCCCCTCAAATTGCAATTAATAAAATTACTTAATTATGTAAAAATATTACATGAAAAGCACACGTAGAATTTAAATATATATGCATATTTATATATATCTGAAGTCTACGTGTATATTTATATAATTATTTAAGTAATTTTGTATATGGACATATATATTTCGCATTTTTATTTATTTAAATATACATAGATATATATTCAATTTCTTTCTAAGTGTATTTTGATATAAATATATATATTAATATCAAAATACAGTTAGAATAAAATTTCATATAGATTTTTAAATTTTTATTATTATTTTTAAATGTTTAATTTAAATCACTTATTTGTATTATATATATGTGTGTGTGTAATTTAATAAGTGTATTTTTATATTAATATACCGTATATACTCGAGTATAAGTCGACCCGAATATAAGTCGAGACCCCTAATTTTACCCCGAAAACTTATTGACACGAGGATAAGACTAGGGTGGGAAATGCAGCAGCTACTGGTAAATTTCAAAATAAAATTATATCCCCCAAAAATTATATTAATTGAATATTTATTTACAGTGTGTGTGTGTATGAGTGCAGAGTGTGTGTGTGATGCATAGTGTGTTTGTGTATGTGATGCAGACCCTTGGTGGGGGATGGGCATTTTTTTATTATTTTAATAATTTTTTTTATATTAATTTATTTTTATTTTATTTTTATTTTTTTAAAGGACTACTATAGTGCCAGGAAAACATACTCGTTTTCCTGGCACTATAGTGCCCTGAGGGAGCCCCCACTCTCAGGGTCCCCCTCCCGCCGGGCTGGATGGAAAGGAAGGGGTTAAACTTACCTCTTTCTCCAGCGCCGGGCGGGGAGCTCTCCGCCTCCTCTCCTGCTCTTCAGCTGAATGCAAGAGCCGCGCGCGCATTCAGCCAGTCTCTCATTCCCTGGTGGTCCAGTGGTGTGCACTGTGCAAGAGGGGGCTGGCAGAGAGCTGTAACTTACCGTATTTTTCGCTCCATAAGACGCACCTCACCATAAGAAGCACCTAGTTTTTAGAGGAGGAAACCCAGAAAAAAAAAATATTCTGAACAAACTGTTCCATAGTGTTTCTTACTATGGGACAGTTTGTTCAGAATATTTTTTTTTTCTCCCCTGTCCCATAATGATCTTTAACCCCCCTTTCCTCTGTCCCATAGTGATTGTTAACCCCTCCTCCCTGTCCCATAGTGTTCTTTAACCCCTCCTACCCTTGTCCATTAGTGTCCCCCCCTCCCATTGTTCCATAGTGCACTTTCCCTCCCATAGTGTCCCCCTCCCCTTCTCCCATAGTGTCTCCCCCTCCCCTTCTCCCATAGTGTCCCCCTCCCTTTCTCCCATAGTGCCCCCCTCCCCTTGACCCATAGTGTCCTCCTCCCCTTCTCCCATAGTGTCTCCCCCTCCCCTTCTCCCATAGTGTCTCCCCCTCCCTTTCTCCCATAGTGTCCCCCTCCCCTTGACTAATAGTGTCCCCCACCCCATCTCCCATAGTGTCCTCCTCCCCTTCTCCCATAGTGTCCTCCTCCCCTTCTCCCATACTGTCTCCCCCTCCCTTTCCCCCATAGTGTGTCCCCCTCCCTTTCCCCCATAGTGTGTCCCCTCCACTTTCCCCCATGGTGTGTCCCCTCCTTTTTCCCCCATGGGTGACCCCCTCCTTAACCCATAGTGTCCCCCTCCCTTTCTCCCATAGTGTCCCCTCCCCTTAACCCATAGTGTCCCCCTCCCCTTAACCCATAGTGTCTCCCCTCCCATTGTCCCATAATTACTTACCTGTCTTGGAGCGTGGGCCGGCTTCACAGCGCGCTCCGCCGTCCAGGAACTTCTATTTCAGGTTCCGGTTTCCGGCGGGACTGAAAGGAAGTGTGCACACTAGGACACTAGCGGAGTAGTGGTATTATCCACGGTATCTCCGCTGGTAGGCAGGATGAAGCAGGTAAAATGCAGGTAGCGTAGTTACAATCCTTTTCTCCTAAGAACTAGACGACACATAGCTTGGAGGTTAAAACACTGGTATCTCACCAGGCTGAGTCAAAAAAAATATATATATATACACACACACATATATAATTATTATTTTTATTAACATTTTTTTTTTATTTTTTTTTATTTTACACTAGCAGTCCCCCTGCAGGCAGACACCTGGACACCTATTGTGACCATGTGATCGCTCTGTTAAGCGATCACATGGCCCCAGGGGTCCTAATCCACCATAGGGAGACTGCCTGGGCTGCTGGCAGTCTCTCCACACCGGGAGCACCGCCGGGGGAACGACGGCGATCGTGTAAGTACATAAGACCATTGTGACGGTTCAGAACGGTCAGCGGTCGGCAATGCAAAAATGCCAATGACGGTCCTGAACAGTTACCGGTCCTTAAGGGGTTATACAAAGAAAAAGGTAATAGAGCGCAAAGAAGACTGTAATTTAACAGTAAAACAAAAAATAAAAACTGACACATCTATTGAAAAGTAACATAGCATGGGTGCAAATAGATCTACTAAATCTAAATATCAAGTGTTGATAGATAAGCTGTTCATATATGGCAACACGTATTACTGAATAGCAATATAATTGGAGTAGACTTACCGGGGAGGCAAGCAGCAAAGAAGGAGGAGTTGGGAGGAGCTTGATGACATTATATGATATTGTTATACACTCGGATTGGTTAAACTTTTTACATCATTGTTAACTGTTTCTTTGCTGCTGGGAGGTTCAGTAAAGAAAGATAAGCAAATATGAAGCCTCCTGTTTTGCCATAAAATTATTATTCTGTTCTTGCACATTATGGTTGTCTCAAAGCATTGTCTTATTATTCTGTTCTAGCACATTATGAGAATGCCTTAAAGCAAAGTAGAGCCTAACAAATTCAGCCAGTGAAGAAGGTGAAAATTGATTCCTACACAATGACAAAGTAATGAGTCTCGAGCTTGGGTTCTTCTCCATATTTTTTTGCTTTCCTTTATTATTATATGAACTGAAAAATACATGCTAAAGTTCTAGAACATTTCTTGTTTAGCGATTGCATGTTTAAGTGTTTGTTGTTTTTTTTTTTCTGGACATATATTTTCCATACATGTATTGCAACAGTGTTAGGTCTAAATAATAATATTCATTCTAAAAACATGTTCTCTTATCTCCACGCAGAAGAACCTTATCTGCGGCATGTAGAAAAAGATGTGCTTATTCCCAAGATTGTGAGGGAGAAGGCGAGGGTTCTGTGTTCTGAAAAAGTAGAAGGTGAGAATGAAACATTAATACTGGTGCATTATGGTGGGGGGGAGGCAGGAGAGAATTTTGTATTTTAGGTATACAAAATATACTATAGGAAAAGATTTGGATGAAAAAAATCAGAAACCTGTCAGTAGGCAGCAAGAGTATCTTATTTGTGAATAAGATGGTTCCTATCTGCATTTTGTCCTCAAAACCCAAAGAGCTGTCTGAGCAGCATGAAGAAACATGGAGGAAAATTGTGGAATAAATGTTCTTTATATTGTGCTTTCAATGATCCATTAATTTGGCTGATATTTCAGAATATATTTTCCTGAATTAGAGGTACTCTCTTCTAACTGGTTGAGCACTCAGACAGAAATCGAGAGTTCCTCATTTGTCTGTAGCTTGGCCCCATGTTTAGCATATTGTTAATGTGAAAGTTGCACCCCTACATTAGCAAAATCATTTTTGTCAAAGTTTGGACTAGGGATGCACCGAAATGAAAATTCTGGGACCAAAAAACGGAAATTCAGGATACCCTTGGGCGAAAACCGAAACCGAAAATGACTTTTTTCCCCAAATGATTTTAAAAAGTTTTTTTTCCTATAATTTTATTAATATTAGACTTTTTAATGAATTTAATCAATCTAATATGAAAAACTTCCCTTCTCCCTTAGTGGTCCTCTCCCCTCCCTCTTTTTTAGTGTTCACTCCTCCCCTGTCCCATAGTGTTCTTTGCTCCCCCGTCCCATAGTGTTCTTTCCACCCCCGTCCCATAGTGTTCTTTCCACCCCCGTCCCATAGTGTTCTTTCCCCCCCGTCCCATATTGCCTCCCCCCTTCCCATAGTGGCCTCCCCTTCCCATGTACTCCCCTTCCCATATTGTGCCTCCCACTCAGATCCCATATTGTACTCCCCAGTTGGCACTTCCCCAGTCCCATAGTGTTCTTCCCCGTCCATAGTGTTCTTCCCCAGATCCCATAGTGTTCTTCCCCAGGTCCATAGTGTTCCCAGCTTCCCTGTCCCATAGTGTTCTTCCCCGTCCACTAGTGTTCTTCCCAGATAGGTTCCTTCCCCGTCCATGAGTCTCCCCGTCCATAGTGTTCTCCCCATGATCCCCATGTGTTCTCCCCCCCTCCATGTTGTTAACCCCCCCCATGGTGTTCTTTTCTCCCAGATCCCATAGTGTTCTTTTCTCCACCCCTGATCCCATAGTGTTCTTTTCTCCACCCCGTCCATAGTGTTCTTTTCTCCACCCCACTCCCATAGTGTTCTCCATCCATAGTGTTCTTTTCCACCCCAGATCCCATAGTGTTCTTTTCTCCACCCCGTCCATAGTGTTCTTTCTCCACCACCGTCCCCCTTTTCTCCAGATCCCATAGTGTTCTTTTCTCCACCACCCCGTCCATAGTGTTCTTTTCTCCACCCCGTCCATAGTGTTCTTTTCTCCACACCCCCCCGTCCCATAGTGTTCTTTTCTCCACCACCGTCCATAGTGTTTTTCTCCACCCCGTCCCATAGTGTTTTTCTCTTCCCGCACCTGTCCCATAGTGTTCTATTCCCCCCCCCCCTTCCCAAGTGCATTATTCTTGACTTTTCATGTTATCATTACTATCTTTTATTGTGATATATAATCATCTGAATTGTGCACTAAACTATGCACTACAAAAATAAAAAATTAAATTTTGGTGCTTCCCTAGTTTGGACAGAATTTGTTAACTGAATGTGATACCCTTTCAGCCAATGAGTGCCTTTCAAATATGAATGGAATCAATATTTCTAACATGGAAGTGTAACTTCTGCAATTCCAATATTATGAACAAGGGACTTTGCCATGTATGCCTGGCAAAACCTTGGTTTGTGTTAAACCAGTCTAAAGCAGTATAATATAGAACCTGGGGTTGGCACAGAGACATACTGGCACCATAACTATTACAGTGTAATGTAGTAATTATGATTCTTAGAGTGCCCCTCAGCTATTTTCCCTATAATTTCTTATTCTAATTTAAAATAATATCTTCATATTATGGTATCGTGTATCTTTTTTCATAGTTATTTTTATTATAGTTTCATAGGTTTTTGGAGTTGTATTTTTTTTTTTTCTTTAAAATGTTTCTCAAAACATTTGTAACACTACATACACTACAAAATGCACTTGTAAGTAGAGCTTAAACACATTTTCTCAACTTGTAACTAGTAACAGACAAAAAAACACATCAACAAATCATTTTGTGTATAGCGTATACTTTTTATCCATGTATTGTTTTAAGAAATGGAAAGCTAAGTTCTTGGGCAGAGTTGTTTTAAGTCACCTAGTTTTCCCATTTACCTTTTCAACCCCAAGGCATGCTATGATATTTAGTGGAAATGATGGCTTACAAAATAACTTCAGGCCTTGCTTCCACAAAGCTTGGCCAGTGTCAACCATGGTTTCAATAACATTCACTTGTTCAGCAATACTTCACCATTGGGGACTCTTGTGTCCCTCAAGGGTGACATTGAGTAAAGCATACGACATTTTCATGTGACATATCAAAACCCAAATTTAGAGAACACAGTTCTTAGCTAGCTCTGCATGGTGTGTATTGATGCTCGGGGGTAAAATAAAATGGCACATCATTTTTATCATGGTGGGTGATAGTTATGGCGTGAGTTATGAGACATGCTCCCATTACTTTGGAAAGGTTTAAGATATTTGGCATTCTAAAGCTTAGTGCTCTAGATAGCTGACAACATGTTTGATCAGTTTGGAAAATCTGGGGCATATTCTTACATTGTTCTTGCTAGTCTCCGAAACAAGAAATGGTTTTTTGTTTTATGTTTGATAAGGTCAATATTTGTATACTTGGTGTGAGGTTCTTAAACAAGGTATATTGCCCTACTGCTGCTTATATGTATCACATAAAATGTTTTCTCTTTAAAGGCTGCTTGACATTGTAAACACAATTCTTAAAAACAAATACTGGATGCCCTGATCCTGCAAACTTCTTGTTGTGACACACTGACAGTACGAATTATGCCTATAACTACATTAAAAGGCTCCTCTATGCAACTAAACCGCTAGGATTATTAAACTTGTTGGGGTAAAAAGTGCAGTCCATACAGTTTTTGTCAAACCATTTTTCGAGTGTGGGCCCCCTGTTCAGATAATGTTTTGTTTATTATTTTCCATGTTTTGATTTGACTTCAATAATGCTGTGATACAATGATTTTGTTTCCAAAAAATTACAAATTGCATACCCATTGCTATAGTGATTGACATGTGAGAATGTTGTTTTATTCATGTGAGTAGGAACTGGATTCTGGACAAATACATTACACATGAGTTGGATCGGAATTTTACCCCCATCCCCAAAGATCTGTTCTGGTACTGGAGCAATTTGATGTGCTACTCAGTATGTACTCAGTATGTTTACCTACATTTGAAGGTATATTTACCACAGTTCTTTGATGTATGTGTATCTGGTTGTATTCAGTATATGTAGTAAATAAAATTTTTAGCACCTTCTCTGTGTATGTTAGTTACGAATGGGAGGATAGACCTTCCACATATTGTAAATTATTATTGACAGCTGAAACAGTTTCATAGTCAGCAAGTTAGTGTGAGGTGAGTAGAGGGTTGGATGATACGGTATTTTCTTTGTCTATGATCTGTGGTCTGTGTCAGCGCTGGAATAAAGATAAGTGTGAGGGTCAGTAACAGAAACTTGTATTCTAGACCCTATAGTGTTAAACCCACCATTTAGGTGGCTTGCCCCCCCTCTCCCCGCCCAGCCCTCTTAAAAGGAATTTTAAACTTGCCTTATTGACATCCTGTCCCCGATCCACCTCCTTGATGACTTCATCAGATTTGCCGATTTTTAGCCAATCCAATTGGCAAGGAGGCAGGATGGTGCCGGGGCCAAACACAGTTTTGGCCAATCAGCACTTCTTCATAGAGATGCACTGAATCAGTGCATCTCTATGAGGAAAAAGGCAGTGTTTGCATGAAAATGCTTGAAGGCAATGATTACACTCACCAGAACAACTACATTAAGCTGCAGTTGTGGTGACTAGAGTCCCTTTAAAGGTCTGTGTGTTTTTTTTTTTTTTTGTTTTTTTTTCTTTTAATAAAAGGGTGGCCACAATAGTCTTTATACATGCACTGACATAGCAGACATAGAAAACAAAATGTTTTTTTGTGTTTTTCCTGATAGGAATTGTGCTGGATGGAGTCTATATAGCTCCGAGATTCTGCAAGGTTCCAACTTTGTGTAATTAGCCCCAGGGAAATGTGTTGTATTAAATTAATTTTGCACTTTATATAAGTGTATGTTTAGGCTCTGGTTGGAGGTTGATTGGAAACTGCAGGTGAGGAGTCCAGAGTTTCAACCCTCTAAAATAACCGATCATCAAATTCATGTTGCGTTCATACTGCACAGCCATGGGTGTCCGCAGTAATTTTTCCAGGGGAGGGGCATAATTGTAATGATATCCATGCTTGGCCCCTTTTTGACAGTCATGAAGGGGAGGAGCATAGTCAATATCACATAAAGCCAGGGTGAATAGCATTTTCACAACTATGATGTCAGGAATACATGTTTGTTTTCCTGACACTATAGTGTTCCTTTAAGCAAATTAAAGGAACATTCTGGTCACCATAACAACTTCATCTAAATGAAAATGATATGATGCCAGGAGGTCCCTGGGTGCTCTTTCTTTTAAGTGGTTAAACCGCTCTCAAATTGTTTAACCCCAAAAGGCTTCCTCCAGATCTCCAGGTCGCTCAGTGCTATTCGGCTTCTGCTACCTTTTTCCTTGAAGCTTCTGGAAAGACTGGTCTGACTATTTTTACTTGATTCCAATTCTCTCCTTGACCCTCTTCAGTCTGGCTTCGGCCCCTCCACTCTACTGAGACTGCTCTTATTAAAGTCACTAACGACCTAATCACAGCTAAATCCAAAAGGCACTATTCCATACTAATTCTTCTTAACCTCTCTGCTGCCTTTGACACTGTTGACCATGTTTTCCTTCTCCAAACTTCTCCAAACTCTTCAATCACTCTGTCTCTTCGACACTGTCCTCTCTTGGTTTTCCTCCTATCTCTCCCAACGCTCATTCAGTGTCTCCTTTTCTAATGATACCTCCTCCCTTTGTCTTGTCTCTGTTGAAGTCCCCCGAGGCTCTTTACTTGGTTCCCTTTTATTGTCTCTTTATACTGTCTCTCTTGGCAAACTTATTACTTAATTTGGATTCCAATACCCCCTGTACGCTCCTCCCCAGACCTCTCCCCTGCCGTCCTGCAATGTGTCACTGCCTGCCTCGCTCCCCAACTTACTGGAAAGGTTCAAGGGCTACAGTGCAGTTTCTAATCTGAAGTTGAACCTGGACAAATTCAAGGTGATGCCGCTCTCCTGGAGCGAAAACCGGACCCCACAACTCAGGGCACATTTCCCGTTTAAGCTGTGCGCTACCAAACTTAGATACCTGGGTGTGTGGCTACGGGAGAACCTCACGCATTTGTACCAACAGAACTACATACTCCTCCTAGCAGCCTTGGAGGAGGACATGCGGCGGTGGACACTGCAATATCTCACCTGGTTCGGCCGCATCAGTGCAGTCAAGATGAGTCTGCTCCCCTCCCCCGCTTGCTCTATCTCTTCCAGACGATCCCTACCACTATCCCGCAATCTTTCTTCCGCACCATATCTACGGCGATCCGCCACTTCCACTCAACGGCCCACACAGGACTACCCTGGAGAGACTAAAGAGTGAAGGAGGAGCTGGATTACCTATTTTAACGTACTATCAAGCATCCCATCTGCACCGACTGGTCGACTGGCATGCCAGCCCCACAGACAAGCAGTGGGTGCAGATGGAAATCCACCAAGCACAAGGTAAGATCCCGGCAATGCTTTGGCTGGGGGGGGGGGGGTTTACATACCAGGAGACACGCACGGGCAACCCCATGATTGACGCAACCCTCAGGACTTGGTGTGGGATACGGTACTCCAAGCAACTCACAACCTCACCTAACCCACTCACACCCATCACGCACAACCCAAGGGTGGCAGGGGGGTTACATCCCGCCGCCTTAAAGAATTTTCAAGAGTCGGACTGGATATACATACAACAATGGAGTTCGGACACGGGACTCAAACCAATAACAGACTTGATGCTAGAACGTAGACCGACAGTGCTGGAGGAGTTCCACTACCTTCAGATTAAGAAATACTACGCCTCCATGACGGGTAAGAACCACCTTCACAGACCCCTACAATACCTTGAACGCTTATGCGCAGCCAGACAACTGCTTCGTCATGGGATCTCCATCCTCTATGAAACGCTCGTGGCTACAGGAACTAAGACTCTGTTGGGATTCACGGGCAAATGGGAAAGAGACACAGGAGAGACACTCACTGACCAAAAATGGGAAAAGATCCTTATGATGACACATAAAGGATCCATTAGCTTGAACTATCAAGAATGCAGCTACAAAATTCTAACACACTGGTACAGGACCCCAGACATCCTCTGCCATGTACATGAATTGATCCCAGGCGAATGCTGAAGATGTGGAACCAAAACAGGCACGAGGATACACATATGGTGGACATGCCCACGAATGGTAAATCACAAGATAAGAGAAATCACGGCCACAGACCTGCCACTCCAACCCCTGCCAATGCTCCTAAACCAAACACACACACTCCCCTACAGACATACAAAAAAAGTCTCACATACACCTACTCACAGCCGCAAAATCGCTGATACCCAGTCCTTGGAAACGTGCAGATGCACCCACCTTACGGCAATGTGTGGATAGGATTGAAGTTATACATGATATGGAAATGATGACAGCTTTCCTGCAGGGATGCTCGGATAAACGTGCTTTGACCTGGTACCCATGGACCGAGTTCGTGGCTAAGAGGCTAAGAGGCCCTTGCAGGCGGGAACCCCGGGAGGGGAGGAGGAAGGATGTAATCATCCCTGTCCATCTCACACCTAAACTTAATGGGCTCACCCTTCCTCCCCTCCCTCGACTTCTCTCCTGCCCACAAGACCTCCCTGACTTGACATGTTTATAAAATTGGCTTCCCATACTCCCATAAACCCCTCCAAACCTTCTTGACATACCACAATTCTCACACACACCCTCCCCTATCCCCGCTTTTCAGTGTACAATGATTCACTACCAATCCAAAGTAATATGAAGGGCTACTGATCAGTCCGATGCTAAACGCTTTTTCATATCGAGTCATATATGAGCATATGTATTCCTTCAGCTGCCTACAAACAATCATTTAATGTTTTGCATCTAATATATGAATAAGTATAGCATTCTTGTTGTTAAATGGCCTTGTCCGCATAATGACTTATATCTCACTGTTTTCTTCATTGACCGTGAGCAGAGCCTAACACTACAACCCTACGTTAACAAATGTTTTCCGCTATATTCCTGCTACAAAGAACGAATATGGCTTCTTTAGTTGGTTAACTGATGTCACTACGTATATGTATAATGTCTCTGTACTACTGTTGTTGAAACCAGTTGAAATGTACTTCCGGAACATGTCAAGCTTTAATAAAACTAAAATAAATAATGTCAAAAATAAATAAATAATGTGTACTGACACTTATCTGGTAGTACAGATCTGTGGCCCCCTGGTAAATTGACCTTGAGACATGATGAGACACCCTGTTTTAAGGGATTGCGGTATAATATAATGCATACTGTAATAATTTGTCGTGTATATTTACAGTTCAAAAAGCATAATGTAACACCAAGCCATATTTGGCATTATATGTGCATTTTAGCATTATTGTCATGCGTATGAGAGGAATACCATAGCTTGCATAATTATAGTAAGAATAGTCCCTTATTTGTCTTTAATTTGTCAAGTTTTTAAAACTGATATGTCACTTTGCGGATGGGGGGTGGGGGGGTGGGCGTTTGAGCCTATTTTGCAAAGACTCCCAAAACTGATAGATCCGTTGTGGGTCTGGTGGCCATGGGGTGTGCTGGGATTTGGGGAAAAAATTAGTGGCGGAGGTCTTCAATTAATTCCTGATATTTCTTGCTTTAATAACCCTAAAATTCAAAAATGTATTCTTATGCCTGCACAGTAAACACACACAAATACACAACAAACTTTATTCACTGAACTGGTAATAGTAGGTAACTGACAAATTAATTTTTATATGTCCAAATTGCTGGTTTTTGAATAATTCTAAAACTCGGGTGATTTTAAGGTTCATCTTTTGCTGCCTGCAATTTAAATTTACTCTTGTCAATTCTCCACTGCTTATTGTTAAACACCTATAGGATTCATTCTCTAAACGATTATGGTCAGCGGCTAGAAGATCAAAGCACAAAATTCAGGCTAGATGTGACAACCTTGTAACATTTACTCAAACCACCTTTAGAAAAACCATTGTAAGGAATAAAATCTAGTTCAGCTGTGTGTATTTTGGATGTGACAGGGGCCCATCAAATTCAGCCTTTCTCAAATTATCCGATTGAAAACGTTAAGTGATACTGGTCAAAAGTCAGAAATCTATAAAAATCTGTGAATTCTTGGCTTTCAGTGAACACTGACACCATTGCCTTTCATTAGAGCTGCTTTAGATTTAATTAATTTCATGTCACGGGGAAATTCAGGCGCAAATTGCACCTATATGTAAATTTATTTACACGAAAGGTACAAGAGAGTACAAATTAGGATAAATTTTCTCATTATGCATGTGATCTATTCCTAATCGCGGTTGTATGTGTGTGTGTATATTTTTTTTTTATATATATATATATATATATGTGTGTGTGTGTATGTATATATTTATATATGTAATATTATATAAATCAGGAAAGCTTGTACTAAAAAAACATACTTGTTAAATGAGAAGCCAGGTTTAGTCCAAAATGGTCAGTGCATGTAAAACATAATCTAGCAGTAAACTTTTTTTATTCTGTTTGATTTTCAATGTCATCTCAACCCAGCTTGTCAGAAGAATTAAGCTAGAAAGCTAGCACCACCATTACTTTGCTTGTAGTTTCTTTTTAAAGGGAATGGAGCAGCTTTTAGAAAGGACAAAAAGAAATGAAATCACTTTCACTGAAAGAAACCAGCCTCATTAGAGCCACCAACAGCAGTTATTGACAGCGACACTTCCTATTAACAAGGAGCATTTAACTAAGAGTTTGGCTGTTGGATCTTTGGAGTTGATCTAATTTGCTGGCATTAATTAGTTTCTTTTGAGCATGGACACTTGGTGTTCACAGCTATATATCTGGAAGACTAATTAGGATGAAGAATTGAACAGAATGGGGTAAGGCATTAACCTTCAACCATAACCAGCTGGGGCTATGATAAAGACTGTAATGCCCAAATGCTCCCTATTCAGGTAGAGCGTACCCTAATGAATATCAATTTCAGCAAGCTGGCATTCTTTATTTACTTTATCTTTTCTTTCTTTCTTTTTTTCTTTTACACAATTCTGACTCCTTTGATAAGAACATTCTTAGATTGTTTTTTTTCTACAAATGTGAATTTGTGTGTTTGTATAAAATGTCTGAAACCACTTTTAAAATGTATTTATTTTTCTTTTCTTTTTTGTGATGTTAAATTAGCTTACATACTTCATGTGAATATACTTATTGGAGTAAGTGCCATATAAAGAGTACTATCAGGGTTATTTACTAAAGTCAATACAAAGACCAGAGTAACCAGTTTGGCTATTTGTGACCTTAAATTGGAAATTCACTTTGAATAACCCTGTATGCCTGACACTTAAATTTAGATGTACCGATGTTGGCCATGCACTGACCTGTATTTCATCAAGGTATTAATTATTTTTTTGTGCCTGTGTATTTCTTTTATGTTGGGAATTACTTGTGCAGTTTGAAGGCTTCTCTTTATGTCCCCTGTTCTCTTAATTCGTATTTTCCCACACATCTAGTCCTAGCATGGTGCTCATTTTATTTGTTGACTTGCACAGCCCTCACAGTAAGTTCTCTTCTGAACCCCCCATAGGGCATGAGCTTATTAGTGTTGTACTGTATTAAGCAATGTTGTCCTCTTTTTATTTTTTTGATCAATTGCTTGAGTATTTTTTATTGTTTATATAGCCTTTTTAGTTTATATACATGAGGACATAATAAAAGTATTGTCGCTGAGGACTGAAACATAGAATGTCTATTACCTTTTTATTTATATTAAAGCGGCTCTGTCACTTTATAATCTTTATGAAATAGTTATCCTGACTGTGTTGGGATTTCACTAAAATTTCTATACAATCGAAAAATATTATAAGCCAAAAAGTACTTTTGTCTTTTGGTAAATCTAAAGTTGACAAAAGGCAAAGCAGCGCTGTCAACTTTTGTCCAATCCCAGCAGCCGTCACAATTGACTGCTGTGAGATTCAGACATAAATCTATGGAGCCTCTAGTGGGATCCTCCATAGAGCTCAGTGATGTACTTCAATGCTTGCGCAGGTGTACCAAATTAAGTGCCAGGAGCCAAAAAGGACAGCAGCCTGAAGATGGAGGCAGCCACAAGGAATACCTTGATGTTACTTATCTCCTTGCGGCCACGGGACCCACACTGGACACCACATCTTGGCCTCTTCTCGGCCACGTCTTTATGAAAAATGCAAATATTCCGGAAAGAAACAGATTCACTTTAAATTGCTGATATTTCCAGGTGAAGACCTATCAATCTTCTCACCCACTATATACAAAAACAACAAAATGCCTACATTTATCACAGACTTTATTTTTTAATATTCAAAAATTTTTTGTATGTCTAACATGCATACATGGCATTGTAGCTTGTGGGGTCCTGCTTGGGCTTAAATGAAAAACCTTGCTGTCATTGTCACTGCATTGGGAACAGCTCCATGCATACAATGGCCCAGCTTTCCCTTTGTCCCCATGTTTTGTCATATGACATGTGGTAACAAACATAGCAGAAGGTAAGTGACCTTGTGTCTGTCTGTCTGTCTGTCTCTCTCTCTCTCTCTCTCTCTCTCTCATAAGCAACTCTGGATTGACTACTTAATGCAGAAAATCATGATATCAATTGATCAGAATAAAAATATAGGGCTCACTACCTCTTTAACCCCTTAAGGACACATGACACGTGTGACATGTCATGATTCCCTTTTATTCCAGAAGTTTGGTACTTAAGGGGTTAAGTAAAAACATGATTTGTTATAATGATAATTTTACAGAAAAAATACTTTTATGTCCTGCTTTGAGCAGTATGATTACACTATTGTCCTATAATACTTTGATGATTGGTGTGCCAAAGGCATTTTCTTGCTTGCATATCTTGCATAGGAAAAACACAAAATCATAGCGCTAACATTTTTTTTTTTTTGTCTATGCTTAGTATGAATTTAATTACTTTTCTCATATCCTCCTATTTAAATTAATCCCGTTCTATATGCCAATGCTCAAATTAGAATAATTCTTTAATCAGCTGTGTTGTGCATACAGTGGCAGTAGAATGTAAAAAAAATGAACCCCCTTTGTGGCGTATTGAAAAGTCAGGCATTTTATTATTTATAACTGATTTAAAAGTAAAATCAGAAATACCGATTTCTACTTGACTGGAGAGTTGATTTAGTTTGAATATCAGTCTGATCCTAATCAGGTGAAAATTAATTGAGTTGGAGATTTTAGATATTCAGTGATGGCAACTGAACCATGATCAATCTAGAACTGACTGTCTTCTGCACTGCGCACACAATACCAAGTAGCTTCAGCAAATCAGTTACAGGCAACACATTACAACACAGAATATTATTTTTCATGCTCATCCTCTTAACTTTGTGGCTCATTAAATGCACCCGCTAAAGATTCTCTGAGTACTTGCACATAGCAGGCTCCAACATGAAACTAATCAACCTTGATCTGGCACAAAATTAAAGGCATGCTAGCTTTCTCATGAAATAGCTTTTGAAATCTGGTTTTCCATCCTTTGAGTCTTGTTGTCGTGTCTCAGTTTATTAACCCCCTATCTATGGCTGGTTTCCAAAAGGCACCAGCACTGTCTACAGGGTGGGCATATTCATTCAAATCCATGCCTTACGAATCGCCACTGTCATGTAAAGTAAATGTGATCAGGTAAAGCTAGGTATATGGCAGTGCGAAGTACAACCATCACCTTGTCATGTTGATGGGAAGCACATGTAAAGTGCTGTACTGTGCGTTGTCATTCATACGATGCAGATGATTGATGACTTGATTTACCTGTTGCAGCATATGTATTCTATAACCTGGCGAGTAGAAATTCACTCTGCTGCCTTGCAGTGGTGAGTAAATTTTAGGGCCTGGCTCGTAGCATAGGACTTCAGATTGTAAACCCTGTTCTATAAAATACATTACATGACATAACTTTTCATGTACTATATATACATATATTTGTGATATGTGTCCAGGAAAACATGGTGAATCTGGCCACTCAATCTGTAATCTTTTAGTACATTGCTTTCAATATGGAAGGCTGACCTTTACAGACTTGTGCTGGGTATAATAACTTTTGAGTAGTCCAGCTGAGCACAGTTGGGAACATTGTCCACAGCAGTGGAGAGACCGTTTAACGTTTGTACTTCTGGCAGTGTGAAGTAGTCCATAGGCTTTTGTTTTTTGGTTTTTTTTGGGGGGTGGGGGGGATTACTTTCCATCTTACTTGCTTATCTATAAATTGGGTTTCTCTTTATAGACTTCCCATAATTTAAGAGAATCTAAAATATTTCATATTACTTTTGTTTTTATCCATTGGACAAAGAGGGGGGAGAGAGACAGAGAGAGAGAGAGTGTGTGTGTGTGTGTGTGTGTGTGTGTGTGTGTGTGTATATATATATATATATATATATACATACACACACACACACACACACATATGTATGTCTGTCACGGTATGTATGCGTGAGCATATTCTTGCAGACACTGTAAGAGCATGAGGCAGCAGTAAGATAAAGGAAGTGCATCAGAAATGTTTCGTCATGTATCTGATAAACAGCCCAAGCACTTAATTTTTTTTACTTACAGAAACATTTGTATCCGCGTTTACAAATGTTAAATTACATCAAAGATTACATACGAGGACAAAAAGAGCATGCTTTTGTTATTTTATTTCTAGCAGATCCGTTCCATGTATGCCAACATTCAGAATTTGTTAAAATGTCTACATCTCGTGGCAGACTAAGTGAAACTGTAATTTTCCCCCTTTAACAATACACAACGGCAACACAGCTTCATCAGTGCACTTAGCACAGTCCTCTACTTCAGCAGCTCTTTGTTTTAACGCTTGTAAATCATATCACTGCAAGGTGTTGAGCATACAGAAAAAATAAATAAATAAAAGTAGCCCTCCCTATTCATTGCAAACACTTTTCATTTATCTGAAGAGTGTGATCACAATATCTTAAGTGTTGTGATAATATACATGGTGAGATGACACCTCAGTAGGGCCAGCTCCAAAGTAGAAAAATTGTAAAGATTTTTAAGCTGCAGTTAGGACAGTGCCGGCAAAGTATCTATATCTATAGATAGGTTTTTAACAAGTTGGAGCCCTAGTGATGTAGCAGTGTTGATGTTGGAATTCTGCCGAGCATAAAGGATGTAACAGAGATCATTTTGTTATTTGAGATGCCAAGCTAACTTGGGACACGTACCAAAGCTGCAGCATTGGTGTCCTGATGGGATTTGGATGCGCTGGATGTGCTTTAATCTATTTTTCTAAATATCACAGACTTTTAACTCTTTCAGAGGCAGCAGCACCTCTTTTTTTTGCATGTTTCTGAATGGGTTAAATAATTCCTGTAAACATATATTTTAAGCCTTAATTTTAGTTTTCTTTATTAATTGCATTAAAAATCATAGATTTTAATTTGTTGAAATGCAAGGTATGGACAAAATGTATACCACATTGCAGAACGCATATATTTGGTTAGGGTGCAAATAACGTTGCCAGATTTCCATTAAAAAAATTGCTTTATGTAAGTTGGAATACCACTTTTTATGGGTGCCAAAAAGTAAGTAGTGTTTGATAGCACCCCTGACATTTGAGTAAGCTGTAATTCATCGGGTACCTAGCTGACATTTATTTCATTTCCACCCTGGCCATTTTCAGGGATGATAACCCTAACTCATGAACTATAAAGATGTATTCTTTTAGAAATCATCCATGTTTGTACAGCAGCAACATTTTTTATGCATATTTTAAGTGTGCAAGCAGTGATTGATCTTCTCTACAGAACATTTTTTCCCTTCTGCGTAACAAAACAAGTTTATAACACAGGATGTTCTAGTAATAATGAAACCTGGCCAGCCTCTGAGCTGTAGCTATTTGGCTTGGAGCTTATTTGTCAGAAGACAATTATTATTTCTGTATGTCTGCTTGTGGTGTTTTTATCACCATCTTAAAGGGTGATTGCTGCTGTATTTAGGGTTTGTTCCTAGGATATCGCACCTTTAAACCAAACAAGACGGGTGGCTTAACAAGTGAAAGAGACCTCCTGATGTCTTTTGCTAAATAAAAGAAGCCTTTACAGGCTTCAGAAGAATTATTTTTAGTGAAGTCTGTTCAGCAGTCATTTGTCAGTGGGGACTCTACATCAGAGCTATATTAGCCTAAAGCACAAGAATGTCTTTATTTACACCTCGAGAAGATGGAATGCCTAAATATAAAACACTTCTTGGCTTCGTACCTTTTTTAACTCTTGATTAATCTTGTATTTTAAACTGCTTCTTTAATATCCTGTGACTGGGTGACTCATTGACCTTGTTTGCTCCATGGAGATACTGGTACAATAAACTACAAGGAAAGTACATGTCATATTGACCTCGATGCGTTTACATTGTTAAAAACACATCATGGAGATTTGTTACGCTTAACATAATAACATTCTAGTTATACAATTTACTAGTTGGATTCTTGGCTAATATTGTGACTTAATAAAAACTAGACTTTAGGAAAGCTTATGGCCTCCAAGACTAACCCCTACCTCACATACCTGTCTCTTGCCCTCTCCTAAAGGGCAGCCCACCTTATTTGATTGCAAATTCCTGTCCTAATGTGTTTTACACCCCACCTCCTATTGAATGTAAGCTCGATTGAGCAGGGTCCTCTTCAACCTATTGTTTCTGTAAGTTTATTTGTAATTGTCCTATTTATAGTTAAATCCCCTCTCATAATATTGTAAAGCGCTACGGAATCTGTTGGTGCTATATAAATGGCAATAATAATAGACTAGACCTTACATCTTATTTTACTCTGGCCGCCGAATTTGCCACAGGAATATCCAGCTTTCTCTCTTCTTTAGTCCTCAGAATGCAATACCTTTGAAACGATCAGTAAGATTGCTAGGTGAGAAAAGGGTAGACGTTGCCTATTTAAAAAAAACAAAAAAAAAAAACAATTTCTTTTATTTAAAAAAAATAATAATAATAATTCAGAAGCACATAAAGGAACCTGCCATGTAATCCTCATTTTTTGTCAAAGCACTTTAAAAAAAACTTTGCCTATAGTAAGAGGAACTGTACCAAATGCTTTCTATCACCATAACTATTAGAATAAGCTGTAGTGATTATGGTGCTTGGAGGGTCCCTTTAAAAGCCATACCTACTTTTAAATTAAATCAGCATAAGAACATTTTGAATGTGCTGTGCGGTGTGATTTCTTTTTAAATTAGCAGCATAATATTCAAAATGATTTCCGAATATTTTTTTTTTTTTTCAGCATTAATAAACACAGGAGCGCAATGCTCTTTTCAGTTTTACAGTAATGTATTGAAGTCCAGAGCAAGCTTTGTGACTGATGTATCATAATACTAATTGATAATTGAAGAAAGCCTGTCAATCTATTCATATTTGAAATATCCATCCTGCCTTCTTTTGATTTTAATAGAGAGACCCTAATTACAGAGCTGGGAACATCTTTATTATTGTAGCCATGTGTCAAAAAGAACTAAAGGCCAGAAGCACACAAAAGGAGCAGGCAGTCATTTTGTGTGTGAATGGAAGGGAGTTGAATTCAGATTTTTTTTTTCTGTGTTGAAGAGTTATAGCTCATTGCAAGTAGCATAGTTATAAGTTGTAGCTTAATGCTACCTTTTTTTTTTATCGCCATCATTTCATTCTCTAACCCTTCACTCTTGTGCTCTCTCCTCTACACACACTACAGTTTGTGTGCTTCCTTTGCAGCACAATTGTTTCTAACTAATCATTGTTAAATTTCGCTGCACTTCAATAGCGCCCCTCTTCATTTATGCTCCCTTCTATCAAGTTACCTCTACTCTACTTTATGAGGCAATGTTTTACATGTCCCTATTATAAGCTGCCATCACAGTTCAATGTTGTTTCTTTCTTTCTCTCTTTCCCCATTGCTTTTTTTTCTTTTCCCCATAATACCAAGTTATCTAAACCAGAGTACATACCGTATATCGTTTTTGCTATCGGCCCTTACCCATCAGGGTATCTGTTCCAACGATGGCTGCGCAGAACTTTGTATGGAAATATTGAACGTTACTCTTTGTGATTATTATACAGGATCCTTTTCTTGCACCCAAACCATGACAACACTAAATTTGTCTGCATTAGGCTTGAATGTCTATATACGCACAATATGGATTTGTCCAGTGAGTTCAGGACCCTCCTCCTATAACATATAAAGGAAAAGCGAAGTAAGGTCTTTCAGTGGAGAAAGTTGGTTAGGTAACCATTTCAAAGCTTACACCGTCGTCAAGTTGCACGTATAATTTTATCGTAATCCTAGAAGGACTTCAGATTTAAAAAAAAAGAGATGATAGCTTGAATAGAAAGTTTGATAAAACAATGCTGGCTGCCGTGTTAATTATAGACGTTTTATAAAGCAGAGTGTAGTGATATGGTATCTGTAATGTTGCCTGTTTATTATTTTTATTGGGAGCTTAATGCAGTAACATGAGATTTTTTTAATGTATTTTTTTGCAACCCAGTAGCTAATAAGAACATTGTTAAACCATGAACTATTGTTTTCCCATTTATGTTTTCAGCAGCACTTACACTTGAGTAACTCCTTTCTCTCTTTAGAACTGTATAGGCAGTTTTTCCATAACCTAAAGGAACTATACTAATGATTTTGATGTCCCCCCCCACCCCCCCTCCCTCAAACTGATAAAATATAGTTTTTAATTACCTTTAATCCTGACGCACGGGTCTCTATAAGGCCGCTGTGCCTTCCCTGCTGATATTATCAATCCAGTGTTTCCACGTAGTGTTTTATTTTCTTTTATGATTTGTTTCATTAAGATAAGATGTTTCTCTGCACTTATTTCTTTTCCTCCAAACGTAATATCTGCTACTTCTGTCTATCAGGAAAGCGTAGGCGGAAGACAATGAGAGACTCCTCCACCGGTCATTTTGGTCATTTAAACTTTGTTGAATAGATATGCAAAGTAGCTACTCGGTCCAATGTTTTCAAATTTTTTTTATTTAGTTTTTGCATCTCTTGCTACTCTTGTCAAGCATTTTCTACATGCTGTTTGTCTAGACACAGACAATTGGCCCATGTATTATGGCATAATGTATTTCATTGCTTTCACTCATTAAAAAGAAAGACATTATGCTTACAAATGTATTAAAAAAAAAAAAAAAAAAAAAATTTTTTTGTGTAGGGCAACCATCCATAAAGCCTCTATCCCTTCTTTTTAGATCGGTTTACTGGTACCTTTTGGTTTTGCACCAGGTGCCCTAGTTTATCGCCTTTACTTTTTTCCTTCTGTTGGGCTATCCAATGAAATGGAGGTTTTAGGAGGAGCAGGAAAAGGGGCAACAATCTCTTGGCAGTTCTGCCATCTCTGCATAAAAGTGACACAAACATGTATTCCTAACATTATAGGTTCCTCTACCTATAGATTTCTGGCAACCCCCTGTTGTGAGGAGTTTACTTACCTTACATTCCCAGGTGCACCTGTCTCTGTGCTGAAGCTCCACCTCCTTGGCTCAGATCATTAGTTTTGATTATCTCACCCAATCCAATGCTTTACCATAGGAAAGCATTGGAAGGCTAGTGCATATGTGTGGCAAAATGCTATGCAGCGCCAATCAAATACTCTATATGACCAACTGATTAAAATAGCTGAGTTCTATTCGACTATGGACACAGAAGCAACTCTAGTAATTGTCAGTGTGACAGTCACTTGAAGAATTTGTAACCATGCTTGATTCCAGTTGCAGGGATAAAGCTACAGGGGCCTGACACCCAGACCACTTCATTAAAGGGACACTCTAGGCACCCAGACCACTTCTGCCCATTGGCCCCTTAACCCTGCAAGTGTAATTATTGCAGTTTTTTATAAACTGAAATAATTACCTTGCAGGGTTAACTCCACCTCTAGTGGCTATCTACTAGACAGCCACTAGAGGGCACTTCCTCCTTCATAGCACAGAAAACCTGTGCTAGAGTGTCGCTGGACGTCTTCACGCTGTGTGAGGACCTCCAGCGTCGCTCGTTTCCCCATAGGAAAGCATTGAAAATCATTTTCAATGCTTTCCTATGGGGAGCTCTGGTGCGCATGCGCGGCATTGCCGCGCATGTGCATTAGGTCTCCCCAGCCGGTGGGCGGTATCAGTCTCGTCCACCGGCCGACGTAACACGGAGGAGGAGGAGCGGCAGAGGAAAACGCAGCGACGTGGGACATGTCGCTGCCTCTGGTAAGTTACTGAAGGGGTTTTCACCCCTTCAGCAACTGGGGATTGGGGGGTGGGAGGGAGAAGGGACCTGCAGTACCAGGAAAACGGATTGTTTTCCTGGCACTGGAGTTTCCCTTTAAGAAGAGTTCAATCCAACCTGCCACTATGTGAAAGAAAATGCTTTTATTTTTCTTCTTGCTTTGTCCACCTTCACCCTTTTCTCCTTTAACCTTGACTTGCTCCATTCTTCACTTTGTAACCTTTCCAATATGACCATCTTCCTAGTCTCATTTACCTCTATCTCCTCGTTCCCTTCTTTTTCCTCCGTAAAATCTATGCACTGTGTTAGTGATTACATAATGAGTAAGGTTAATGCAGGTTTGAATATTTTAAATAGAAATGTACTAAACAATTTAATAAAATTATGATTTTTTTTCAGCATTATGAAATTCAAATATTTCTGTTTATCTACATCAAGATAAAGATTAAAATATCAATGTGATATGTTTCTTTCCAGTACTTATAATGTAATTTTAACATCTGTGATTTTTGTGTGTCACACGTAACCTCACTGAACTCTTCCATTACACAAACAAAGGAGTTACAAATTTTGGCAAGATGAACTAACGACATCAATCGAAACAATAAAAGTGTGCTTATGTGATATGAAAGGAAAGATCCTAATTAAATCCTTGTGCTAAAGAAGCGACAAAGACCTTACAAACAGAGTGTGGCTTGAGGCCAGCAGCGGTGATGCTGGAAAAGCAGATTTGGTCAGTGAGTGAGAAAATGCTTACAAGAAGAATTAATTCGTTGATCATAAAACTATTACATTGTATTAGAAGCCTTAGTCATGTGTAAACTAATTTCAGAACCTATAAAGTCAATATGTGCTTCCATGCAGAATGGACACATGTTAATACATCTCCTATTTCTTTCTTTCTTACTTTACATGTTCATCTAAAGCATTAGAGGATTAAAAAAAAATGGATCAGTTGTTCATTTCCAGGAAAAATACAATACAGGATTCTTCCATGTACAATGTCATTTTTGTGTATATTACATGAACGCAGTTTTCATTTTAAATGTCTGTCCGTGTTCTTTAACCATGCCCTCTAGAGCTAGCAACAAGACAGATCTCTCTATGTGTATCTCTCTATATAAGAGTGGCGGATTCAAATAAGAATTGCAAATGTTACACCAAAATAGCCAATTTGGAAGTATCCCCAAGCTATTTATGTTTCCAGCTCAACTCATTTTGATTTGAATTTATAATTGTCAGTTGAATTCCTGACATTTCACAATTCAGCAAATAGCCAGTTGAGTTACTGAAAAGTTGACCTTGGTTAAAGCAGGGATATTATGCAATTTTATCCCGTTGGTAGGTATTGGAAAAAGGTTTGAAGCACCTGGTCACAGCAGAATTAGACCAGCCTCAGAATCCAGACATGGTTCTCCAGCTGTTGTTAGTCACCACCACTTCTGAGGCAACAGAATTGCCCTCTGGGCTAACAATCATTTTGCATGTGTTGATTTGGAGTAGGATACTTAAATATTGTTGCTATGAAGCCTTTCTTAAACATTTTCTTTGCAGAAAATGGAAAGATGTAATGCCCAAGCAGTCACCGGTATGTGCACTCATATTGGCAAGATTTTATTTTTGCTATAGTGTTTATCTGGGGACTAATGTGCTTTACATTATTACTTGCTTTTACCCGTTAGTGACCAGACCATTTTTCAATTTTCTTACCGTTCAGGACCAGGGCTGTTTTTACATTTCTGCGGTGTTTGTGTTTAGCTGTAATTTTCCTCTTACTCACACATATTATATCCGTTTTTCTCGCCATTAAATAGTCTTTCTAAAGATACCATTATTTTCATCATCATCATATAATTTACTATGAACAAAATTCTAAAATATGATTTTTTTTTTAAAACACTTTTTCTAACTTTGACCCCCAAAAGCTGCTACGCATCTACAACCGACAAAAAAGACCCATGCTAAATAGTTTCTAAATTTTGTCCTGCGTTTAGAAATACCCAATTTTAACATGTTTTTAGCTTTTTTTTTTTTTTGCAAGTTATAGGGCAATAAGTACTTTGCTATTTTCAAACCATTCCTTCTCCCCACAATTAACGAAAGTTACATTGTAACACTGATCTGCCAGGAATCCCTGAATAACCCTTAACATGTATATATTTTTTAAAAGAAGACACCCTGAGGTATTAACCGGTTTATTAACAGGTATCTAAAGAGCCTGTTTGGCTCTAGAAGCCTTGAGTGCTGTGCAAAGGCACACGTGCCATAGGTTGCCTACCCCTGCCCTAGGGTGTCTTCTTTTCAAAATTATATGGTTTGGTGGGGTAAATCAGTTGCCGGCTTCAAAAAGGTCCATAAATAGGACATGGGTGCATGATGACCATCTGTGAAAATTCCAAGTTGGAAAACTGGAATGCACACCCTCCAAATAAAGTCTTTTAGCCCCTAGAGAACCCGACACACCTATACATGGAGGATATCACTGTACTCAGGAGATGTTGCTAAACACATATTGGGGTGTTTTTTGGCATTAACCCTTAAAGTTCTCAGTATATATATTCTTAAATTGCTATGTGTGTCAAAAAATCACCAATTATTATTTTTTTTTTTAAATTTGGCATAGATTGGTTGCATGAAGGGGGAGGCGAGCCAACAGCGGAGCCGTTATGACGCCATTTCGGATAGCTCCTGAAAATCTTACCTAATCTCCTCTAAATCAAAGTCATCTCGCACAATCCAGTGCTCAAAAACCCCTCAAAAGTCTAAGGGGTTCCAGCTGCATCGACTGATGCCCTTCTTTGCAACACCCAAAATGTCTAAGTGGAGACGCAGGCTCGGGGCCTACACCACACAGAGCCAGATTGGGAGTCGAGAAACCAGACTTCTACACACCAACGCAGCCAGAGCCTCCTGCACAAATGGCAGCAATGGGACGACGCTCCCATTAAGCAAGCCCCTCGACTGACCACCGTGACATCGGAGCATTACTCCAAAAACAAGTACGGCCCAAGATGGCGCCCACTGAGTGTCCCCAAGCCGAGGCACCTGATGCCACGTGCAATCATCAACAACAAGGTGAGCTGGCAGACTTACACTCAGGGGCTCCCACAAAGACACTGGAATCTATGACCCCAGCATGACATGAAACTCTTGCTGCATGACTTGGCAGTCCTTCACTCAGATTTGCAGAACACCACTGACCGAGTATATGCTAACGAAGAGGACATTTCTGACATACAAGTCGGTCTATCTAACGTAAATCAATGATACAGGAACTCACACCAAGCACTGTCTCTGCAAATGACAGCCATAGAGGACCAGTACAGGCGGCATAACATCAAAATCCGCGGAGTACCAGCTGCTGTCTTGACGGAGGAATTGCCACTCTTCGTGAGGAGAATGCTGGCGATGATCTTACCCCCCACAATGGTAAGAAAAATTACTATTGATAGAGTATACATACTCACCGGACCAAACAGGCCAGCACCACATTCTGCCAGAGATATCATTCTTCGGTGCATGACATTACATGATAAGGGACAAATTATGGCGGCCCTCGGACAAAACGCCTCTATTATTTGAGGAAGCCCACCTAACCTTTTATCAGGACTTGACAAGAATGACCCTGCAATGGCGCAAGTTGCTCACGCTAGTCACACGGCAATTGCGGGCTGCAGGCGTAACCTATCGTTGGGGCACGCCTGGAACCCTACACGAGACCCACAATGGGACCACTCAGTCACTCACCTCACTGGCAGAAGCACCAAAATTGCTATCAACATTGGGACTGACGGAGACACAGACCAGCCCAGTGGGCGCTGCACTTGGCATGGTGTGGGACACCTCTAAAGTCACGCCCTTTGTCCCAAGAACTGGAGGGGCAATAGACCAGACACCTGATGGCAGCTGGATGCAGATAAGACTCTACTGGCTCTACCTGAGCAGAGAAGCACCTACACAGTTCCACAAGTCAATCACTAATTCTTCTCATGATGTCTCTCTATGGTTCTGTTTTGTTTTTGCTTTAATTTCGTTATTAGTCACTTTGGTCCTGTTTAGCTTAGGCTCCATACCCACTCACCCGTTGGAGCTCTCTAAGAGCTTCTGTGGGACGAGTGCTCGCCCCAAAGGTAGAAGACCCAGAACCCCACATAAGTTGCAACCAAGAAAGCCATACCTGCAACGGGCCTAACCCCTGGGAGTAAAACCACCAGTCTCTCTCCCCCATACCCCCTGCAGTCCCCTTGGTTAGGGGCACCCGCAGCTGCAAAGCTTATCTGCATCATCCCGCAGACAATCTCAAGGTACTAAACTAGACATGCTACTCTACTATGCTTTGCACTCATAACACACAGTGTTGTAAACTTCTGATGGATGGCCCACGATAGTGAGCACATACTATATATCTACTAACTCACGCTCTCAACACTGCATTTACACCCCAACCACCACTCACTTAACAATGCAATCTTTCAGTACATAAACCTCTCATGTTCGTAACAGCGTTCCCACCTACTGAAAAATGTATACTCTTGTTTTACAAAAATTTTGTGCTTTATACCACTTTCATAATGCTACCCCACCTGATACGTTGTGTTATGCTGTTGTGGCATTGTTGATATGCTGGTTTCATCACAGCACATCAAAAAATAAAGATTTTTTTTTAAAAATGGTTACATGAAAAGAGTAAAAAATACCCCAAGTTTAATACCATTGGTTGTCTTGTTTTAAAAAATATATACATGTGGGGGGGCGGAGCCTGCATGCAGACCTAACCAGACACCATCTTCTTGAGCACCTCCAAACTTATGTTGAATCTACCTGATGTTGGAAAAACTAAAGCCAATCCAGCTTGCTAACCACCAGAACCAGCAGGCAGAGCTGCGTTGGTTGATGCCTTTTTTTTCAGCCACAAAAGCAGCCTAAACGGCGCCGCAGAATTGAGGCCTACCGCCGATCCTCGACCTCGAGGCACTCCTTGGCGAAGACTTTATGGAGGCCCCCGAGAAGTACTACGCCACCACACGTGCCAGCTATGGGCCGAAGATTGCAGAAACCCACCTCTGGGTCTGACTACCAATACATCACCCAACCCCACTCCCTCCACCATTCTACACTCATTCGCACCTGCTACAGCAGAAGAGGTTCATGCTCTGCTCCAGTCCTCCCGCCCCACCACCTGTTCCCTCGATCCTATTCCCTCGCATCTCATCCGCACTTTGTCTCCCTCTCTTGCTCTTCCCCTCACTAAAATCTTCAATCTCTCCCTTTCCTCTGGCACCTTTCCCTCTCCCTTCAAACATGCAACTGTAACCCCAATTCTGAAAAAACCCAGCCTTGACCCAACTCCCCATCCAATTACCGCTCTATCTCGCTCTTGCCATTTGCCTCCAAGATCCTCGAGAGAGTTGTGTACATCAGAATGGCTGACTTTCTCGAATCCAACTCTCTGCTTGACCCCCTTCAGTCTGGATTCCGCGCTGGTCATTCTGTCTAAACGGCTGTGACCAAAGTATCCAACAATTTAATCGCTGCTAAATCTCATGGCCATTACTCTATCCTAATTCCCCTTGATCTTTCTGCTGCCTTTGACACTGTTGATCATCAACAGCTTCTTTGCATTCTCCATAATTTTGGTCTTTGGGATACTGCTCTCTCCTTGTGCTCCTCCTTCCTCTCCCAGCGCTCTTTCAGTGTTTCTTTCTCTGACTGTCTCTTGCCCCAAACCACTCTCTGTCGGCGTCCCCCAAGGTTCTCTCCTTGGTCCCCTACTGTTCTCTATCTATACTGCCTCCCTTGGGAAACTCATCAGCTTCTTTGGCTTCCATTATTATTTCTATGCGGATGACACGCAAATCTACCTGTCCTCTCCTGATCTCTCTCCACCCGTCTTGACTCGTGTCTATGACTGCCTCTCTTCGATCTCCAACTGGATGGCTGCTCACTTCCTTAAACTCAACCTGTCCAAAACAGAACTCCTGGTCTTTCCTCCCTGAAGTGTTACTACTCCTGTGTCTGTCTCCCTCCAAGTCAATGGCGCTACCATCACCTCTACCTCACAGGCTCGCTGCCTGGGTGTTCTTTTTGACTCCAACCTCTCCTTCACCCCTCATATCCAATCAATCACCAAATCGTGTTGCTTCCATCTCAAAAACATAGCACGCATTTGCCCCTATTTAACCCCAGGTGCGGCTAAGGTGCTGGTCCACCCTTCTCAGTGGTCTTACATGTTCCCAGATTGCACCGCTGCAATCTATAATGAATGCAGCGGCGAGGCTAATTTTCCTGTCCACTCGCACTTCCCATGCCTCCCCACTCTGTCAGTCCCTGCACTGGCTTCCAGTTAAATATAGGGCTCAATTTAAAATTCTGGTTCTTGCTTACAGGTCCCTACATAATGCTGCTCCAACCTACCTATCCTCCCTAATACACAAGTATGTCCCGTCGAGGCCCCTACACTCTGCCAAAGACCTACGTCTATCCTCCGTCCGTACTCCCACCTCTGATGCTCACCTCCAAGATTTCTCCAGGGCTGCACCTCTTCTGTGTAACGCGCTCTTCCCTTCTCTGTAAGACTTTCACCCAGTCTCCACTCATTCAAAAAATCATTGAAAACCCACTTCTTCAAGAAAGCATATCAGTTAAACTGTAAGCAGGTTTTTATCCCCCACCCTCATGACTCCTCTCCAGCAACTGTCAAAAATGACTTACCAAGCCCTCAATGAATACTTTTCTAACAACCTACTTCGTACCCCTACTTTTACCCTTTGTGTCACTATACCACACTCCCTCTAGAATGTAAGCTCATTGAGCAGGGCCCTCCACCTCTCTGTTCCTGTACGTCCAATTGTCTGGTTAAAATTACATGTCTGTTAGTCCACCCAATGTACAGCGCTATGAAATGTGATGGCACTATATAAATAATAATAATAATGACTCAACCCACATTGACAAAATAACAACGCTCACTATAGGGCTACCATAAAACTATACTCTACTTGTTTGGTCAGCTAACACTCTAACCAGTTTCCCTGTATAACTAGTAATCCTGTTGATCACAAAAAAAAAATAATTATAGTGCTTATTATCAGAAATATATGATCTATGCATATCTTGCTAAGCATTGTACGAATATCAATTGTTTGCCTTGGAACCATACTGCATGCACTACTAAAATAAAGAATAATACATTTATTTATATATATATATAATATATATATATAATATATATAATATATATATATATATATATATATATATATATATATATATATATATATATATATACACACACACACACGTGAAGGGTTTATCAGGGATTCCTGACAAATATCAGTGTTACAATGTAATAAAAAAAAAAAAAAGAAAGGTGTGGAAATAGCAAAGTGCTACTTGTACTTATTGCCCTATAACTTCCCAGAAAAGCTAAGAACATGTTAAGATGGGTATTTATAAACTCAAGACACAATTTAGAAACCATTTAGCACGGGTATTTTTTGGCGGTTGTAGGTGCATAACAGATTTTGGGGGTCAAAGTTACAAAAAGTTTGTTTTTTGTTTTTCATCATGTTTTATACATTTTTTTTATAGTAAATTATATGATGAAAATTATGGTATCTTTAGAAAGACTATTTAATGGCAAGAAAAAATGATATATAATATGTGTTGGTAGAGTAAATGAGTAAGAGGAAAATTACAGCTTAACACAAACACAGCAGAAATGTAAAAACAGCCCTGGTCCCAAACAGTAAGAAAATTGAAAAGTGTTCTGGTCACTAAGGGGTTAAATATGAAGAGACAGTATTTTTTTTTTTCCAATATAAGTTGATCTCCTATAAAACAGTCTATGCAGAAGAGTTTAGCCTTGTGGTGTTTCAGGTTTGCATATATAGATATATTAGATATTTATACTTAAAATTCCGGCACCCCCCCCGCCTTCTAAATACACATACACACTCACTGACAGACAGACACACATACACTCAATGTCAGTCACACATTCACTGACAGACACATATACATTGTGTCAGAGACACACATTCACTGACAGACATATACACTCAGTGTCAGAGACACACATTCACTGACAGACACACATACACTAGCTAACAGACATACACACTCACTGACACATACAGTCACTAACAGACACACACATAGTAACACACTCCCTAACAGACACACACTCACTCACTCCCTAACAGACACTCACTGAACAGGAAGATCAGTGCTCCCTCGCTGCCCATCCGGAAAGCTCCGCTGCTGCCAGCCTGGGGGGCCCTGAGGTGGCCACCCGGCCAGCTCCTGGCCCCCCCAGTACAAGAGGCTAGCAAAGCATTTGCCGGGGAGATTGGGGGGTGGCTTCCGGTTTCAGTTCTAAACAGTGTGCGGCACTGGATTTTAATGTCTCCACCCTCTCAATGGAGGCACTGAACATTATCCTTAGAAATGCATTGATTCTATGAGGCGCAGAGCAGCATTTTGGCATTTATGCGCAATAGCCTCCCAATGCTTTGCTATGGGAAAACATTGGATTGGCTGAGATCATCAAGCCATGGAGACACAGGCGCATCACAGGGGAAAAAGGTGAATTATAACAACTTTTTACTGCAAAGAGAAGGGTCCGGCTACCTAAATATTTTAACACTATAGTGTCAGGAATACATATGTGTCCTTGACACAGTAGTGTTTCTTTAAAGGGACAAGCTTGGCATCAACACAACTTTTTTGCATGCAGTGATATGCTGTATTTTTTACGACAAATGTTTGCAGAACCCTGCATCATTAGTCTCCTTAACCATGCCGTCCCTATTAAATAAAAAGACTTGTGTGTACATGCATACCTCAGCCATTGACAGCACTTCGTGAGCGAAACTGCTGGTAACCAAGCAGCCTGCAGGCACATAGTAATGTTATAACTTTATAACCACCATAACCATATCAATTAGGTTGTTGTGGTGCTGGGAGTACCCTGGTTTCATCTTACTTTCCAGTGTTAAACTATTTTGAACCTTATTTTGTCCCATTGCTTCCACAGTGGTGTACTTTATGAAACAAATAATTACTACATTTAATATTACTTCATATACACAGAAATGGGCATGCACCGACCTGATAATTGTAAAATAGAGAACTATGAAAAATACATAGTAAAGCAAGCACAATAAATATTGTGTTTGACGTATGCAGTGATGTTCCGTTTTTTTTTTGTTTTTTTTTTGCATAACCACTTCCTAAGATATTAGCAATTTATTATTTGATGATGTGGTTCCCCCATTGAGGTCATTTGTGGTTCCCCCATTGAGGTCATTCACACTGACTACCATAGATCAAAATATTCACACTCTTTGTATCACAGAGCTTCAGCATTAGAGTCCTGTTTGTCTGATGCATTCATTTAGAAATGTAATTTAAAAATGCTTTTTTACAAGTGTGAAGTTTTTTCATAGAATTTTAGTTTTTTACTTTATTTTCCTTCTGTGGGTAAATCTAATTTTGTAGTTATATTTTAGCCAAGGTTGTTGTAATGCTATAAGATATACTTCTTTACCATCTGCATTAAGGGTTAATAAAAACCTAACTTTTTACCATTTATGGGCATAAAAAAAGCTACTAGAGAACTTGCCACCAGCCCTTTCCTTCAGTAAACGAACCTAATATGTCAGGAGAAACCAGAATAGTCTCATACACTCTCAGGCTGTGCCAAATGCTTTAGCTGTGTATTCCTTACCTGGCTATACCTGTATACATAGACTCCAAGTCTAAAACATTTCTAGGTAAGGTATTTAAGTAATGACTGCCTCCTCAATTGAACAAAGTGAAACTTAACCTAACCTATGCACTGCACCAAACATGTAGGTCCCTGGAGTGTTCCATTAACCTTTTTTCGTATTGTTTTTGTGGTTTTTATTTAAGCTTTCACAAAGTGTTGTCAAGAAAGTGGTTTTCTGATGGTGGTGAAATGCCGAGAAGAAAATGCAGCCCTGAAAGAGTGTCTTACGAAATAGTAAGTGGTGAGGGTTTGGGCTTTTTCTTGTTTTTATTTTTTTATAAGGCTTTCTTTTTATATACATAAAGCAATATGTAGCTTTCTGATTTGTGGCTTATGTAAAGTTTCTCATCTCTACTCTTCCATTTTATACATAACTTATTTCCCAAATTACACTTTTATAGCTGGTGCATAGTTACCCTTTTTATCCCCAGTTCACACTTCATTACCTCTCACATCACCCTGTCCTTATCAATTCACAGCTCATTACCTCTCATGTGACCCTGTTCTTATTCCCAATGCACAGCTCACAGGCTACTTTTTCCTAGTGCTCAGCTTCTTTTCTGCCACAATACTACATTCTTCCCGATGCACAGTGTTTCTCTGCTGCCATAATACCACGTTCTTCACATTGCACAGAGCAACTCTGTTCCAAAAATACCACGTTCTTTACATTGCACAGAGCTTCTATGCTCCCACAATACCACGTTCTTCACATTGCACAGAGCTTCTCTGCTCCCACAATACCACGTTCTTCACATTGCACAGAGCTTCTCTGCTCCCACAATACCACGTTCTTCACATTGCACAGAGCTTCTCTGCTCCCACAATACCACGTTCTTCACATTGCACAGAGCATCTCTGCTCCCACAATACCACATTCTTCACATTGCACAGAGCTTCTCTGTTCCCACAATACCACGTTCTTCACATTGCACAGAGCATCTCTGTTCCAAAAATACCATGTTCTTCACATTGCACAGAGCTTCTCTGCTCCCACAATACAACGTTCTTCACATTGCACAGAGCTCCTCTGTTCCCACAATACCACATTCTTCACATTACACAGAGCTTCTCTGCTCCCACAATACCATGTTCTTTACATTGCACAGAGCTTCTCTGCTCCCACAATACCACGTTCTTTACATTGCACAGAGCTGCTCTGCTCCCACAATACTATATTCTTCACATTGCACAGAGCTCCTCTGCTCCCACAATACCATGTTCTTCACGTTCTGTATTACAATGCATAGCTCATCTGCTTTAAGTATTTGTATTTATATAGCACCAAATTATTCTGCAGTTCTTTACAATATTAATGCACAGCTCCACAGCATGCCATAATGTCATGTACTTACCAATGCACACCTCCTCAGTATTCCATAATGCCATGTTCTTCCCGACGCACACCTCCTCGGGATACCATAATACCATGTTCTTCCCAATGCCTATCCCACGGCATACCATAATACCATGTTCTTCCCAAAGCACACCTCCTTGGCATACCATAATGCCATGTTCTTCCAAATGCACACCTCCTAGGTATACCATAATGCCATGTTATTCTTAATGCATACCTCCTCGGCATGCCATGTTCTTCACAATGCACACCTCCTCGGCATACCATAAAGCCATGTGCTTCATAATGCACACCTCCTCGGCATACCATAGTGTCATGTTCTTCACAATGCACAGCTTGTCATAACCTGCATTATTTTGTTGTTACCAATGTACAGCTCATCCCCACAGCTAATAGCCTGTTCATCTATATTAGAGCTTCCCATCTCACATTGCCATGTTTATTCCACATCCCCATTCCTTATTATTAATACGGCGTGTTCAAGATGATTTCTATGTATAGTTTGATATAACTTGAGGTTGCTTACAGAATAGACAAAAAAAACCTTATCTTTCATTTAATGGTTTCTTAATTTTTTTTTCTCTAAGCTACAGAGATGCTGCTCTCTTTGAAGAATGTAAACAGGAATATTTAAAAGAAAGAGAAGAATACAGAAGAACAGGAATTCCTTCTAAAAAAAGGGAACAAAAATTGCCGACCAGCATGTGACATTAGTTTTTTTGAATAAAATATATTTTTTTCCATTTTCTTTGAAATTAGAAATTGTGTAAGTTTTCTAAAGAAATAGATTAATATCACCTTTACAAATGGCAAGCAGATGCTTAAAGTATCACTCCACACACATAAAGCACTAAATCTTATGAGGAGTATCCCATCTTGATTACATCTTGTAAAAGTGGCTATTAGCATTAGAAATATGCACTTTTATAACTCAATTAAGAACCACCTCCATAAGTTGTTCTTTCTCCTTCCAATAACTACACTGAGCGAACAGAAGTGACAGGTGCACTGGTCTAGAGCCACCCTTCCAAGTAGTGTGCCACCATAGTACTCATTGCACCTTCGTGAGCCTGGCGCCTTTGATCTCTGCCACTGGTCCTACTCTGCTGTTATGTTCCTCACTGCTCCCCCTCACCATGCGCAAGCTGGAAAGTGTGCTTGTGACTTCTCAATGAGAAGTCTCTGATTGCTCATTTCCCCAGAATAAACATAGTCTGTCCTGGGGGAAAAAAAGGGGTGGGCTTGCAAAGGCTTCAGGCAGAAGATCTGCAGCTTTTGCAAGACTTATTTAATTATTTTTTTAGATATACCCTCAATGACAAAATGCATGCATGTTTTCATTGGGGGTATATTTACAAAATTGTGAATTATTATTAAAAAAATAAATAAATAAAAATAAATATATATATATATATATATATATATATATATATATATATATATATATATATATATATATATATATATATATAAATATTGTGGTGTGTTTCCCTTAACCATATTTGAACCTTCATTATAACCTTCAGCATCAATTCAGTTGTAGAGAGGCCAGGATTTGGATGCAGAAGAAACTGTATATTCTTCCTTGTAAAACACAAATAAATGTTAATCTTGTTGTCAGCTTGCCCATTTAGTGATTTAGCTAGCAAACCATTTGCTGTAGTTGTGGGGATATCGGTCCGGCAAGTGAGTCTTGCACTGTGCAGCAGCATTTTATTAAAACACTGACATATTCACTCCCTTTTGTTGATGAAGTCAATGTGTTTACGTCACAGGAGCGTGCACCCTGCTTAGGGAAGTGTTCCTGCCAGAACCAACTGAGCAGAAGGGTGGTGGGAAATAGACTGAAGGTGATGATAGGTTGTTACATTAGTGTATCAATGAACACTGTTTGATGGGGAGAGCTTACAGTGCTTGAAATGAGGTAAGAAGTCATTATTTACTTGGGAAAACAATAAAATGTTTCAGTCATAACTTATATATTCATTGCTTAAGAAATAGTTGATGCAGGTAATGGGACAAGGAGCTCCTTGTCTCTCTTCGCAAGTGCATGATGGTTTGTAAATACTGTCCAGCATTTGGGGTTATTGAAATAAATATCACAAGAGAGGCCCTAACATTTGTCTTTTTTGGATCTTTGAGATGGAGATGTGATTATTTAACTAGCAGCCCAGGGCCATCAAGTCTGTAGCATCCAGATAAATTCTAATGTGTGTGTGTGTGTGTGTGTGTGTGTGTGAATACATTTTTTGTTTGTGAAAATCAAATCTAAAAACACTCGAAGATAGTACAGAGATCCTTAAAGAGAAGCATTGTGGACCTATTGGTCATGACCAGTAATGCTCATAAAACTGAATGCTTCTTATAGAGAACCATTATTATTATTTCTAAAGTGCCAACACATTCTGCAGCACTGTATAATTGGTGGACAAACAAACAAGTAGTCACAAGACATGTTAGACTTAAAGGGACAAAAGGTGGTGAGGGCCATTCTTAAACAAGCTTACATTTTAGTAGTAGTAAGGTCGGATGACACTAGAGTAAAGCATTAAAAGTGTTTGGCTACATCATGCTATGCATAATATAGACAAATGTGTGGATAATTTAAAGTCTTCTGTGAGGAAGTGATTGTCCCTGTCACAGCCACTAGCGGTGTCATCGCTAAATTGCAGTTTCTCAGAATGTTCTACATTCCTTCACAAAAGAGACATTCTATCTACCAAAATCAGTTCATTAAGATACATTGGTTCTGATGCTTAATGTGTCCCTTTAATGTGTGAATATGTTGATTCTGGGGTGTTTATTATTTTTCATAAGGTTGGTGAAACCCCCTTCACGATATAACAGAGCAGTAATTATAATTAATATTGTTTTACGAATAGGGAACAGAGGCTGAGTAGTTTTCTAAATACAAAGTTTGGTCACAACTTTGGCTTGGTCAGTTTCGATCTACATAAACCTAATAATTATTTTATTGTTTCATGTCAATTTGCAACTTTTTGAATTGACAATAATAATGTGAAAGTGTACTTCTCCATTATCACTGTGGGAGATGAGGGACACATTCTCTCCGGTGTCACTGAGAGCTCTGGTTATGTCAAACCCTTCCTAAACCATAAAACAAGCTGTAGTGGTTATGTTGCTTGTTTCCCTTTAAGGCCAGAATAGCCAAGTTGTGACAGTAGCTTAGATGGTGATTTTTTTTCCAAATCAGTGATTTTTGAGGTTTAAGAAATGCACCCACTGACTGGCAGGACACCTTATTAGATTCTTGAGATTTATATACTCTTGGGTTTTTCTTTTGTTTTGTCCAC